ACCTTTAACACCCGGGCCATGTATGTGGCCATCCAGGCCATGCTGTCCCTCTGCACCTCTGGGCATACCACTGACGTCCTGGACTCTGGAGATGGGGTCACCCACATGGTGCCCATCTACAAGGGCTATGCCCTCCCCCATGGCATCCTGTGTCTGGACCTGGCTGGCCAGGACCTGACTACCTCACGAAGATCCTCACCGAGCTCGGCTACAGCTTCATCACCACGGGTGAGCAAGAGATCGTGCGTGACAAGGAGAAGCTGTGTTGCCCTTTGAGCAGGAGATGGCCACCACCACATCCTCCTCCTCCCTGGAGAAGAGCTGTGAGGTGCCCTATGGCCAGGTCATCGCCATTGGCAACGAGCAGTTCCAGTGTCTGGAGGCACTGTTCCAGCCTTCCTTCCTGGGCATGGAATCTTGCAGCATCCACAAGACCACCTTGAACTCATCATGAAATGTGACGTGGACATCTGCAAAGACCAGTATGCCAACACGTGCTGTCTGGCAGCACCACCATATACCAGGGCATCCCAACAGGATGCAGAAGATCACTGCCCTGGCACCCAGCACCATGAAGATCAAGATCATTGTGCCCCGCCCCAAGCGCAAGTACTCGGTTGGATCGGCAGTTCCATCACTGTCTACCTTCCAGCAGATGTGGATCAGCAAGCAGGAGTAAGACAAGTCGGGCCCCTCCATTGTCTACCACAAATGCTTCTAAACGGACTGTGAGCCGATGCGTAGCTTTTGCTGCATAGGTTAATTCTGAAGTATAAATTTGCCCCTGAGGCCGGGCGCAGTGGCTCAGGCCTGTAATCCCTGCACTTTGGGAGGCTGAGGTGGGCGGATCACAAGGTCAGGAGATCAAGACCATCCTGGCTAGCATGGTGAAACCCCCTCTCTACTAAAAATACAAAAAAATTAGCCGGGCGTGGTGGTGGGCGCCTGTAGTCCCAGCTACTTGGGAGGCTAAGGCAGAAGAATGGTGTGAACCCAAGAGGTGGAGCTTGCAGTGAGCCAAGATCGTGCCACTGCCCTCCAGCCTGGGCAACAGAACGAAACTCCATCTCAAAACAAAAACAAAAACATGTCCCTGGCAAATGCACACACCTCATACTAGCCTCACGAAACTGGAATAAGCCTTCGAAAAGAAATGTGTCCTTAAGGTTTGTATCCAGTATCAGCACTGGATTGTAAAACTTATTGCTGATTTTGACCTTGTATTCAAGTTAACTGTTCTTGGTATTTGTTTAATACCCTGTACATATCTTTGATTTCAACCCTTAGTACATGTGGCTTGGTGACTTCGTGGCCAAGGTAAGAACTGGCTTGTGGAAGACAGGTCGGTGGCTTGGTGAGTCTGTGTGGCCAGCAGTCTCCGATCTGTGCAGTGTATTAATGTGTCAGAGCTGAGTATTCTGGGATTTCTGTAGAGCCTGGTAAGGGCTCCTGAACCAATTGTTTCTATCTTGCCGGTCTATCTGGGTTAGAAAAGTCCAAGCCGTAGGACCCAGTTTCCTTTCTTAGCTGATGTTTTCCTGCCAGAACACCATGAGCTGCTACTTGTCTTGAGTTGGAAGCAGTTTGCATTTCCATCTGTAAATGTTTTCATCCTTTTAATTTATGTAAGGTTTTCTTGTACGCAATTCTCGATTCTTTGAGATGACAACACATTTTGTTTTTTTACCGTTATGTGAGAACATCAGGCCCCGGCAACATGTCATTGTGTAAGGAAAAATGAAAGTACTGCTATAAAAGAAACAAAAAAATTGGCTGGGCACGGTGGCTCACGCCTGTAATCCCAGCACTTTGGGAGGCCGAGGTGGGTGGATTGCTTGAAGTCAGGAGTTTCAGCCTAGCCTGGCCAACATGGTGAAACCCTGTCTCTAGTAAAATGCAAAAGTTAGCTAGGTGTGGTGGCAGGTGCCTGTAATCCCAGCTACTAGGGAGGCTGAGGTGGGAGAATTGCTTGAACCCAGGAGGTGGAGGTTGCAGTGAGCCGAGATCACACCACTTCACTCCACTCTGGGCAACAGAGCAAGACTCCCATCTCAAAAAAAAAAAAAAAAAAAAATCAGGAGTCTCACTGAGGTAGTAGCTACAGTGAGCAGATACCATCCCTTAGGGGTTGGGGAACAAAGGGAAAAGATTGGGATGAATAGAATTTAGAATTCTGAAGGAGGGCACAGTGGGAAGATGGGGGAGGCCTGCCTCCGGCCCTTGTATCTCTAAGGGGCTGTGCTGAGGCTGATTCTAGGAGCATGGGGGAAACTGCACACTGGAAGCAGACTTGCCTGGACAATACTGCTCAACAGAGGCAGATGCAGGGAGCCTGTCGCTTTCTCCTCCAAGCTGTAATCCCCTTCCTGCTGGTTTGCAGAGGGTCTAGCCCAAGAATCACAACGCAGAACACAGAACAGGGGATTCAAAGCTGAGACGATGGTGACCAGCACTCCCCTCAAACACTGACTCAGGGTTTGCAGGTACTGGGACGAGGTTCTAAATAATATGTCCCTTTTCAGTTCAAAGTTTCCAAAAAAAAAAAAATGCAGTATTTTAATGAATCCACCTTGGGAAAAAAATTATAATAGCGTCCACATCATTAGCAGCTCACAAGAGAGTTACTTTTCACTTACATAGTCACGATTGATGAGTACTAGCAGTTCGCAGACACATTTTAAGTGATTTTGATTTCAGATTCAGATGAGAAGCTAATTTCGTTTTTTTAAAAAACAGGGTCTGTAATTCATTACACAGATAAAAGATCATTTGCCATTAAATATTTTGTTTCCTAAGTGCAGGTATATGTAAACAAGTGAAAGTGATGCAACCCACAAATAGTCCTAATTCAAGTGCTAGAGAATTTGACAGTTTAGTTGATGGGTCAGAAAACTACAGGCTTCAGGTCAGACCTAGCATGCTGCCTACTTTGGTTTCTTTTTTTTTTTTTTGAGAGGGAGTTTTGCTCATTGCCCTTGCTAGAGTGCAATGGCGTGATCTTGGCTCACTGCAACCTCCATCTCCCGGGTTCAAGCAATTCTCCTGCCTCAGCCTCCTGAGTAGCTGGGATTACAGGTGCCTGCCACCATGCCCAGCTAATTTTTGTATTTTTAGTAGGTCAGGCTGGTCTCGAACTCTTGACCTCAGATGATCCGCCCACCTTGGCCTCCCAAAGTGCTGGGATTACAAGCGTGAGCCACCGTACTCGGCCACTGCCTACTTTTTATAGTTTTACTAGTAACATAGCCACAGTCGCTCATGTACAGCTTTACACTTCCCTGCAGCAACACAGGAGTTACAATAGGCCATATGACCTCCAAAGCCTAAGTGTGGACTCTTCTAAGGTAACGTTTTATGTGACTCATGAGGTTTCTTTTTTTTTTTTTTAAATACAGAGTCTTGTTCTTGTCACCCAGGCTGGAGTGCAATGACACAATCTTGGCTCACTGCAACCTCCGCTTCCCGGGTTCAAGCGATTCTCCTGTCTCAGCCTCCAGAGTAGCTGAAATTACAGGCACCCACCACCATGCCTGGCTAATTTTTTTGTAGTTTTAGTAGAGACGGGGTTTCACCACGTTGCCCAGGCTGGTCTCAAACTACTAACCTCAGGTGATCACCTGCCTCGGCCTCCCAAAGTGCCGGGATTACAGGCATTCTACCACACCCAGCTGAGGTTTCTTTTTTAAATAATGAAAATATGCCTTACCAGACAACTTGAAACATTTAATTGAATGTTTGTAGTAATTTTTTTTTTTTTTTTTTTTTTTTGAGACGGAGTCTTGCTGAGTCGCCCAGGCTGGAGGGCAGTCGCACAATCTCGGCTCACTGCAAGCTCCGCCTCCTGGGTTTGCGTCATTCTCCTGCCTCAGCCTCCAGAGTAGAGTAGCTGGACTACAGGCGCCCGCCACCACACCCGGCTAATTTTTTGTATTTTTTAGTAGAGACAGGGTTTCACCGTGTTAGCCAGGATGGTCTTGATCTCCTGACCTCGTGTTCCACCTGCCTCGGCCTCCCAAAGTGCTGGGATTACAGGTGTGAGCCACCGCGCCCAACTGAGAGAAATGTTTTTTAAGGACCAAATTTGATGTGTTTTAACCTGACCACACTTTATTCTGCTCCACACGATTCCAGGGCTAAATCAGTAAATCCTAGTCCAAATTCCTGTTATAGGAGAGGCCCTGAATATAATCAAAATGAAACGATCAGTTTACCTGAAATGCTTTGAGAAGAAAAAGTAGGAAAGCCTGCCATTTGTCTCTTAAAAACTCTAAGTCAAGAGGGGGAAAAAAGCCATTTTCAAGACTACAAAATTGTAGTGCACACTAAAGGTTGGAAACCACCTTTGACACCACCTGGGCAACACGGCAAAACCCCATCTCTACAAAAAAAAAAAATTAGCTGGCTGTGGTGGTGCTTGCCTGTAGTCCAGCTACTTTGGAAGCTGAAGTGGCAGAATCACCTGAGCCTGGGAAGTTGAGGTAAGCCGTGATGGCACCATTGCACTGCAGCCTCAGTGACAGAGACCCTGTCTCCAACAACAACAAAAAAAAGTGAAGCACCAATGGCATCTCATAATCCACAACTCATATTCTTACTAATATGCATGTTAATTTTAATTTTAAAAATTAACTTATGCCTCAGGGACGCTATCCTTTGTTTTCTTTTTTTTTTTCGTAAATAGAGACAGGGTCTCACTATGTTCACCAAGGTGGTCTGAATTCCTGGCCTCAAGCAATCCTGCCTCGGCTTCCCAAAGTGCTAGGATATTACAGGTGGGAGCCACTATGTCTGTCTGTCTGGACTTTTTTTCTTTTTATTTTCTGAAGACACTGATGACAACTTTTATATTTTTTTAAGATACAAATTTGTCAATGAATAAAACAACTTTCAGATTCAAATCTTCCAAAAATTCCTAAAATCCAACTATTTCTGTTCACAATGAATGTACTTATTAAAAACTTTTCAGAGGACAAAAAAGTGATGCAGAAGAAACATTAATGTTCAAGCAACTTAAAACAAAAAGGTAGATTTAATGCAATAACAATAATCTGAGGATAAATAAATCCACGACAGACTTTAAAGTTTGCAAATCTGTTTCCTTTCTTTGCAGAGAGAATGGTTTTCTGAAAGCACATAGGACTGAAGATGTCAAAACAAAACTTAATTTCTTAGTCTCCAGGTGACACAGGCTTGGTCCTCTCTGCTGCCCTCCGAACACTTGCCACTGGCCAAGATGGTAGTTTCTCTTGTTTAGCTCAGGATGGATGTTAGTTTCAAGAATAACTGGATGGTTTGTTTCCTGAATCATCTTCTTGTGAGCCCATACTCTGTAAAGGGAAAGTGAAGTTATGTATTTATGTTTGCTTTTATCGAGGGTTCCCCAGCAGCCCAATAAGCACACCAGTTACCCTGTCCCTCCCAGAACAAAGCCACCCTGTGAACAAGGGCAGGCAATTCCAGGAACCACCCTAAGCATCCCTAAGTGTACTTCCAGGCCATTGTTTGAAAATGCTCTCAACTAGTATTTCTCCATGACCGTACTGGTAAGGGTTTCAAGAAATATTTAGTAACCTGAAACTTAATTCCTGTGCCTGATGTGACAACGCCCCTCCTTCTCCACCCAGCCTACTTCTTATAACAAGGGGAACCCTCATCACCTTTTGTACAAACTGAGGGTTCACTGTGATCTCCTGGTCCATGGCTTTCAGCCGCTCATCCAGCTCTATGCACTTCAGCATCTGCATGACAGGCACATTAGAAGGTGGTCAGCAGCAGGTTTAGGTCAGCTGCATCCTTTCTAACTTCGACTGTTCACAAGGGCGCTGTAGGTTCACAATCTCTTGACATGAAACCCCTGGGGCCACATGGGTTTTGGAGCCAGCGTATTTTGGACTCAGAAAGCTAATACATGTACCATATAATACCCAACAGCCCACCCAGCAGGATCTAGGCAAACCTCATAATCAAACACATAGTATCTTTTGCAGGGAAACTGGAGTATATTCACACTGAGATCAAAATGAAGACTAGACACCATTTCAGGTGACATTTTGCGATCAAATTGTTTTAAAAAAAGTTTTCTGAGATTTAATATTCAGTTCACTTCACTGCTCAGAGGTAAAAAACAGAGACCACCCACAAAACGCCCCCTTCAGCCCCCAGAATCAGGACAGCATGCCCTCAGGAGACAGGCTGCAGCCCAGTGTTGCCTGAAGGGGACTGTCAGGGAGGGCTTTGCTCTTCTCCTCCAGCCACCCCGGCTCTGCTTCTCACATAGCTCCAGAGATGTTTCCTGATCTCCCAACCTGGAACTCCAGACATTTCAGCAAAAACACAAGGCTCTATGTTTTAAGTGGCAGCTGTGAATAGATAAAGTTATACTAGGGCCTTTAAGTGTTTTCAGAGTTAAGGGAGGTTTTGATAAGCTAGCTGGGATATCTAACCCACCATTTATTTATAGCCATACAATCTGGGAGAGTTTTGATTTTTGAGACAGTCTCCCTCTGTTGCCTAGGCTGGAGTGCAGTGGCACGATCTCAGCTTACTGCAACATCTGCCTCCCAGGTTCCAAGAGATTTTCCTGCCTCAGCCTCCAGAGTAGCTGGGATTACAGGCACAAACCACAACACCCAGCTCATTTTTTATTCTTTTTTAGTAGAGACAGGGTTTTGCCATGTTGGCCAGGCTGGTCTTGAACTCCTGACCTAGGTGATCCACCCACCTGAGCCTCCCAAAGTGTTGGTATTATAGGCGTGAGCCACCACACCCAGCCTGGAAGAGTTTTAAGCAGCCCATTCTGGGTTTATTTTGTTGTTGTTGCTTTTCTTGAGACAGAGTCTTGCTCTGTCACCCAAGCTGGAGTGCGGTGGCACAATCTTGGCTCACTGTAACCCCCATCTCCAGGGTTCAAGCGATTGTCCTTAAGCAGCCCATTTTGAAATTAACTTTCTAGTAACTAAGATGTTCATAGACTGGGAACTACCTGTACTTAAAACTAAAATTATCCTGGAACATAGAAGCAGTATTTCAAATACATCTCGACCATCAATTAAAAAAATAAAAACCTGGCATTCATGTTTACCTCCTGATCAATATTATGAAGCATGGCTGGGTTATTATATTTTTCAGGGTTATCATGGAAACTGACCATACCATCCTTCTGGTTAATACTTGCAAAAATCTCACCATCTTCTATCTACAAAAAAAAAAACAAAACAAAACAGGAAAGCAGTTTAGATCTGAATGCTATATGAATAGTCATCCAGTATAATCAGAGAGAAGCATAGAAGGCAACATGGATATAAATAAACTTGTATATTTTTAAGTGCCATGTTTATCCAAGTATTTATTAAATACCTACTATTTGCTAGGCAGCATTATCGATGCTAAGAGGTGTAAAACTGATACACACACACAAAATCCCTGCCCCTGCATTTTTGTTATTGAGGTGAGGTTCACACAACATAATTAACCATTTAATTTAATTTATTTATTTGAGATGGAGGCTCGCTCTGTCCCCCAGGCTGAGTGCAGTGGTGCGTTCTCAGCTCACTGCAACCTCTGCCTCCCGGGTTCAAGCAATTCTCCTGCCTCAGCCTCCCAAGTAACTGGAATTATAGGTGCCTGTCACCATGCCAGGCTAATTTTTTTGTCTTCTGGTTTTTTTTGAGATGGAGTTTCGCTCTTGTTGCCCAGGCTGGAGTGCAATGGCGTAATCTTCACTCACTGCAACCTCCGCGTCCTGGGTTCAAGCGATTCTCCTACCTCAGCCTCCCGAGTAGCTGGGGTTACAGGCATGCGCCACCACGCCTGGCTAATTTTGTATTTTTAGTAGAGATGGGGTTTCTCCATGTTGATCAGGCTGGTCTTGAACTCCCGACCTCAGGTGATCCACCCACCTCGGCCTCCCCAAGTGCTGGGATTACAGGCATGAGCCACCGCGCCTGGCCATTTCTTTGTATTTTTAATAGACATGGGATTCACCATGTTGGCCAGGCTGGTTTTGAACTCTTAACCTCAAGTGATCCACCCGCCTTGGCCTCTATTTTTAATAGACACGGGATTTCACCATGTTGGCCAGGCTGGTTTTGAACTCTTAACCTCAAGTGATCCACCCGCCCTGGCCTCCCAAAATGCTGGGATTACAGGCATGGGCCACCACGCCTGGCCTACCATTTTAAAGTGAGCAATTAATTGGCACTGAATGCATTCTACAATGTTGTGCAACCACCATCTCTAGTTCTGGAGCGTTTTCATCACCCCAGAAAGAGGTCCTAGGCCCATCAGCAGTCCCTCCCCATTCCCTCCTCTTCCTCCCAGTCCCTGGAAACCACCAATCTGTTCTTGTCTCTTATGGATTTGCCTTTTCTGGATATATGAATGGAATCATACACTATGTAATCTTTTGTGGTCTGGCTTCCCTTAGCATGATGTGTTTGAGGTGCCCTTGCATTTTTCAACATCAACTGCACTGAGATATAATTTACATTGCCTTTTGTTTTTGAGATGGGGTCTCGCTGTGTCGCCCAGGCTGGAGTACAGTGGCTCGATCTCTGCTCACTGCAACCTCCACCTGCTGGGTTCAGGGGATTCTCCTGCCTCAGCCTCCTAAGTAGCTGGGACTACAGGTGCATGCCACCATGCCCAGCTAATTTTTTGTACTTTTAGTAGAGATGAAGTTTTGCCATGTTGGCCAGGCTGGGCCACTGTACTTTAAAAAGTAAAGCCTGACAGGTTTTCATTTTATCCCAGTGGAAACTGTCCTCTGATTCTTCAAGATAACTTCACTACCACTGGGGATTCCAAGATAGATTCAAGGTCTATATATCATTTATTTGCATCAGTTACTGGGGATTTATTTGACTGATCCTCAAAGCCAAATCTTGCCCATGAAGTCAAAAAGTGAGATACCAATAAAAGTGCCAAACAGGTATTTAATTTCTAACAAGATGTTCCACACGGTGATAATCACTTGTCCATTTGTTAGCAGTGAAACTGCTGGCCTACTCCTCTCTAGCTCTGGAAGGGATAGATGCCAGTTAGTGAAACAGCAACCAGCCCAATACATATTATATAAAATGCATAGTTCTCTATATGATCACAGAGAGCTGCTGCTTTAAGCAGATGTACCTAAGCAAAATTTGGAGTTACCTTCACCACAGCAGCACTATTCATAATAAAGAAATCAGAATTGGAAACAACCCCAATGTCCAACTATTTATTTATTTTTTGAGAACGAGTCTCGCTCTGTCGCCCAGGCTGGAGTGCAGTGGCACGATCTTGGCTCAATGCAAGGTTCACACCATTCTCCTGCCTCAGCCTCCCAGTAGCTGGGACTATAGGCACCTGCCACCATGCCCAGCTAATTGTACTTTTAGTAGAGATGAGGTTTCACTGTGTTAGCCAGGATGGTCTTGATCTCCTGACCTCGTGATCTGCCCGCCTCAGCATCCCAAAGTGCTGGAATTATAGGTGTGAACCATCTCACCCGGCCTATTTTTTTTTTTTTGAGACAGAGTTTTGCTCTTGTCACCCAGGCTGGAGTGCAATGGCATGATCTCCAGTCACTGCAACCTCCGCCTCCTGGGTTCGAGCAATTCTCCAGCCTCAGCCTCCCAAGTAGCTGGGGTTACAGGCACCCACCACCATGCCCAGCTAATTTTTTTTTGTATTTTCAGTAGAGACAGGGTTTCACCATGTTGGCCAGGCTGATCTTGAACTCCTGACCTCAGGTGATCCGCCTGCCTCAGCCTCCCAAAGTGCTGGGATTACAGGCACCACGCCTACCCTGTCCAACTAATTAAAATGGAAAGGCGTATCAAACACTGGAACATTGCAGCCTTGAAAATGAATGAACTACGGCTACATACAGCATCACATATGACTCTCACAATGCTGAGCCAAAAAAACCAGATCCCCAGAAAGTATGTGCTGTATGTTTCCTTCTACATTAAGCTCAGAAACAAACACAACTAAAATAGGATGTTAGAAGTCAGGATGGGAACGACCTTTCTAGAGAGGCACAGAGCTGGAAGCAGGCATGAGGGATCATTTTCCAGGTGCTGGTCATATTCTGTTCCTTCTAGGTGTTGGAATCTTTGTGAAAATGTGTTTAGTCGTACAGTTAAGTGTACTTTTCCAATGTTTACTTTAAAAAAAGAAAAAAAAACCCTGCCCTCACAGACCTTTCATTCCAGGAGAAGGGTTTCTAAAGCCTGGCAGTTCTGACATTTGGGAGCATATAATGCTTTGGTGTGTGGGCTGTCCTGGGTACTGTAGGATGTTTAGTAGCATCCCTGGCCTGTATCCATTCGATGCCAGTAGCACCCCCATCTATGAAAACCAAAACTGCTTCCAGATGTTGCCTAATGTCTCCTGGCAGACAGAATCACCCTCAGAGGAAAACCACTGCTCCAGAGCCTGTCAGGGTGTCTGGGCTGGTTAAGCAGGGTTCAAAACTCACAACCACTTTGACCCCTCAATGCATTGCTAGCTTGCATGTCCTGTCTGGTGTCATAACCACTCATGTGTTTCTTCTCACTCACACTGAAGAGGGAATTTCTTGGGGAAAGAGTCTATAGCTTACTTATTCTGTGCAAGCCCTGTGGGATTACTAAGATGCTCTTAGCAGACACAAGTCATAGAGGTATGATTTTGTTTGGTGTGTACATGTTTTGAGTGGTAGGTTGAAGCAAAAAACCCTTTAGAACACTTGTAAATTGAACTATCAAAATGAAATACTCAGCTGGGTACAGTGGCTGGATCCAGCTGTAATCCCAGCACTTTGGGGGGCCAAGGTGGGAAGGTCACTTGAGGCCAGAAGTCTCAAGTTATGCCTGGCCAACATAATAAGACCCTGTCTCTATAAACAGTTTAAAAATCAGCTGGGTGTGGTGGCACACATCTGTAGCCCCAGCTACTTGGGAGGCTGAAGTGAGAAGATCATTTAAGCCTAGGCAGTCAAGGCTACAGTGAGCCATGATTACGCCACTGCACTCCAGCCTGGGCAACACAGCAAGACCTTGTCTCAATAAATCAATCAATCAAAATACGGTATTCTGTTATCACAAGGGAAACTAGTTTTATTACTCCTAATTCTGAAATCATACAGGGGGTCATATGAAGCTTTGCCTGTCCTGAGCTGAGGACACAGGTTTTCAGTGAACTAAAACCAGATCAGAACTATATACTTATGTAACTGAATAGGTAGGTAGATTACAATACATCACTGTGGTGGGTTATCATACAGTCATTTAAATGATGCTTATCCAAATCAGGAGTGGATGCCTGGTTGGGGTGGGGCTAAGAGTGGGGAAATGCAACTGGGAGGTGATAAAGAGGGAATGTCAGGGCGCTGGTGCTATTTCATTTCCTAAGCTGGGTGGTAAGTCCATGGGTGTGTGCTCTGGCCTCCTTTATGTCAGTGCTGTTCAGTGTAATAATCATCATGGACCAAAACCCTTAGTGAGGGAAGAGGCTGAGTCAGAATGTTAGTCAATGATGTCACTAAGCACACTGTAGTTCAGCAAACACTGTTCAGCAAGATTTCTTGCTGCAGCAGTTGGCTGATGTACGTACTGGCAAAAGCTTGTGATCTCATCACAGATAAGCAGAGAAAGTAGCCCTACATCATACCTCTTTGTATACCCAAAATATTTCATGAGTGTTATAAGGTTTACAAAAATTCTGATAATGAAAATATGTAAATATAGGCACCTGTAATACCAGCTACTCGGGAGGCTGAGATGGGGGAATTGCTTGAACCCTGGAGGCAGGGGTTGCAGTGAGCTGAGATCACACCACTGCACTCCAGCCTGGGCAACAGAGTGAGAGTCTGTCTCAAAATAAAATAAAATAGAAAATAATAATGAGTACAGGGCTGAGTGCAGTGACTCATGTAATCCAACAATTTGGGAGGCCCAGGAGGGCAGACTGAGCCTAGGAGTTCAGGCCCAGCCTGGGCAACATGGAGAAACCCCATTTCTTTAAAAAAAAAAAAATACAAAAATTAGTCAGGCATGGTGGCACATGCCTGTAGTCCCAGCTACTTGGGAGGCTGAGATGGGCGGATTACTTAAACCCAGGGAATTGAGGCTGCGGTGAGCCAAGATTGTGCCACTGCACTCAAGCCTGGGAAACAAAATGAAGCCATCTCTAAAAAAAAAAAAAAAAAGGAGCACAAATAGGACACAAGCCTGGTATGTATATCATATGAGCACACCAAAACTAGAAACCATATAGACTATAAGGAAATAGACCAAATTGTCAATAGTGGTTGACTTTGGAGGTTGCCGAGCTTTTCTCCTTTTAAAATAGTTTCCACAATGAACATCTGTTACAGGAACAAAAATCCAGTAATTAATTTTTAAAGAAATGAAAATCCAGGCCAGGCACAGTGGCTCATGCCTGTAATCCCAGCACTTTGGGAGGCCGAGGCAGGCAGATCATGAGGTCAGGAGTTTAAGACCAGCCTGACCAACATGGTGAAACCCCGTCTCTACTAAAAATACAAAAAATTAGCTGGGCGTGGTGGTGCATGCCTGTAGTCCCAGCTCTCGGGAGGCTGAGGCAAGAGAATCACTTGAATTCAGGACGTGGAGGTTGCAGTGAGCCAAAACTGTGCAACTACACTCCAGCCTGGCGACAGAGCGAGACTCCATCTCAAAAAAAAAAAAAGAAAGGAAAAAGAAAATACACTTACCATGTGCAGAACATATTTTTCTGCCTCCTGAGGTCCAGATAACTGCACGCGACTTGCCATATCTTGTAATGACAGAGTTAAAAAGGTCTGAAAGTCAGAAGCAGAATTAGTCACAGGTAGGAACAACGAAGGAAAGACATTTTATTAAAATGTGTACAGAGCGGCCAGGCGCGGTGGCTCACGCCTGTAATCCCAGCATTTTGGGAGGCCAAGGCAGGTAGATCACGAGGTCAGAAGATCGAGACAATGCTGGCTAACACAGTGAAACCCCGTCTCTACTAAAAATACAAAAAAGAGGGGCCAGGCGTGGTGGCTCACGTCTGTAATCCAAGCACTTTGGGAGGCCAAGCTGGGCAGATCGTGACCATCGTGGCTAACAAGGTGAAACCCCGTCTCTACTAAAGATACAAAAAATTAGCCGGTATGGTGGCACATGCCTCTAGTCCCAGCTACTCGGGAGGCTGAGGCAAGAGAATCAGAGAATTGCTTGAACCCAGGAGACGGAGGTTGCAGTGAGCCGAGACTGCACCACTGCTCTCCAGCCTGGACGACAGAGCAAGACTCTATCTCAAAAAAAAAAAAAAAAAAAAAAAAGTGTACAGAGCTCTTCCCACTGATGTACAGAATAAATTTGTGGAGATGACTTAAAACCGATGGGCCGGGCATGGTGGCTCACGCCTGTAATCCCAGCACTTTGGGAGGCCAAGGCAGGTGGATCACTTGACATCAAGAGTTCAAGACCAGCCTGGCCAACATAATGAGACTCCACCTCTACTAAAAATGCAAAAATTAGCTGGGCGTGGTGGCAGGCACCTGTAATCCTAGCTACTCAGGAGGCTGAGGCAGGAGAATCACTTAAACTTGGGAGGTGGAGGTTGCAGTGAGCTGAGATCACACCACTGCATTCCAGCCTGGGCGACAGAGTGAGACTCCATCTCAAAAAAAAAATAAATAAGAATAAAAACTGATAAATCCAGTGGTTTGTCATCAATTTCCTAGAGAAGTAATGAAAAAGGATTAATTTTATATATATATGTAAACTGGAAAGGAATCCTAGGTATGTACATCATTATGAAGATTTTCATCTTTTGAATTTTGTATTAAACGTATCATCTATTAAATGTAATTGAAAAAATAACACTCATCATAAAATTCAAAGTAAACATTTTTTTTTTTTTTTGAGACGGAGTCTTGCTCTGTGCCCCAGGCTGGAGTGCAGTGGCGCGATCTCGGCTCACTGCAAGCTCCGCCTCCCGGGTTCACGCCATTCTCCTGCCTCAGCCTCCCGAGTAGCTGGGACTACAGGCACCCGCCACCTCGCCCGGCTAATTTTCTTGTATTTTTAGTAGAGACGGGGTTTCACCGTGTTAGCCAGGATGGTCTCGATCTCCTGACCTCGTGATCCGCCCGTCTCGGCCTCCCAAAGTGCTGGGATTACAGGCTTGAGCCACCGCGCCCGGCCCAAAGTAAACATTTTTAAACAAATGGGGGAATTAAATAAAAGAGGCTACACACTTGTGGTACGTGAGGGAAAACAGTGTTTACCACTGCTCTCTCAGGATCTCATGAAAAGGACCCCTTTCAGAAACACATTAAAAGAGCTCTATTCTTAATGGCAGCTGGCAATATTTACAACAATGGCATTTTCAGAGATGGGCATATTAAAACCCTCATCTTGAAAATTCCTTTTTTTTTTTTTTTTTAAGAGATGGAGTCTTGCTCTGTTGCCCAGGCTAGAGTGCAGAGGTGCAACTGTAGTTCACAGCAGCTCACGGGAACCTCCCGTTTCAGCCTCCTGAGGAGCTGAGACTACAGGGTGTGCACCATTGTGCCCAGCTTATTTTATTTTTTTATTTTTTGTAGAGACGGGATCTTACTTAGTTGCTCAGACTGGTTTCGAGCTCCTGGTTTCAAGCTATCCTCCTGCCTCAGCTCCCCAAAGTGCTGGAAGTACAGGGGTAAGCCACTGTGCCTGGCCATAAATTCTTGATGAGCCAATAATTTAAAAACCTACATATACTTTAGTTCAGAGAACAGTACCCAAGAAACTGTAATTATTGCTAACTTTAATAAGTATACTAGTAGTTTAACGCAAATGAAGACTCAAAAGTCAACATTTTAGCCTGGCCAACACAGTGGGATCCCATCTCTACAAAAAATCTAAAAGTAGGCCAGACGCAGTGGCTCATCATGCCTGTAATCTTAGCACTTTGGGAGGCCGAAGTGGGCAGATCACTTAAAGTCAGGAGTTCCAGACCATGCTGGCCAACATGGTGAAACCCCGTCTCTACTAAAAATACAAAAATTAGCCAGGTGTGGTGGTGTGCACCTGTAGTCCCAGCTACTCGGGAGGTTGAGGCAGGAGAATCGCTTGAACCCAGGAGGTGGAGGCTGTGGTGAGCCAAGAACGCACCACTGCACTCCAGCCTGGGCAATACAGCGAGACTCGGTCTTAGAAAAAAAAAAAAAAAGCAGGTTCAAGAATAGAACATAGAGTATGACCCCAGTTACATATAATTGGGAGACTCTATGCATACACATAGAAAAGAAACAGAGAAGAGGAACCTAGAAAAACATCTACTAAAATGTTAACACAAAGTAATATTTCAATGTCAGAAGTGGCAGATTTAACCCACCCCTAGTTGCCTTCCATCCCAGCCATGCCATCACCTACTGATACAGTCTACCTGTTGAGGCTTCTTTGGATTTTCTAGTAAGAAAACTTGGCTAGAAAAATCCTTTGATGTTTCCCCCTTCTTTTCATTCTAGCACTGGGACATCATGCCAAAAATGGAGCAGCCACTATCACAGATATAACCTTCTGACTAGCTATGTACTTTAAAGACACGGTTCCTGCCCACCATACCTTATGGTAGCCCTTCCCAGGTCCCTTCAGCAGGCAGTGCTTGTGAGCTCAGTGTACCACAATACACCACTTCGTGTCAACACACAAAGGACCCAGGACCTTGATGACTTTGTAAGTCACTGCCCCAGCCCTGGAAAGACCATTTCAAGTTGAGACTCTTCCTGTTTGATCAAAAAAAAAATCTTTTTTTTTTTTTTTTTGAGATGGAGTCTCACTCTATCGCCCGGACTGGAGTGCAGTGGTGCAATCTTGGCTCACTGCAACCCCTATCTCCTAAATTCAAATGATACTCCTGCCTCAGTCTTCCGAGCAGCTGGGATTACAGGTACGTGCCACCACACTTTTGAAACTGTTATTTAATTTTCATTTGCTATTTTGCAATTTAACATCTTTTGTAACATGTACTATCTTTTATGTTTGTTAGCATTTGGGTTCTTTTATCTAAACCTCAATTACTAGTCACAAACAGAGTGCAGCTGTTTTTTAATGGCTACCTCTTGGTAAGGAAAGACAGAAATGTACTTAGAATGGTTCTGTTGGCACTTGGGCCAAAAAGAAAATTTCACAGAGAGAATTAGGCTGCTTGTTATTTAAGTCTCTTAGATCCTGGTCTTTTAAACCTGTAGGTCAAGTTGGTTTTTCTGGCTCACAAATTACACTGGTTTTGATCTTTGAGTTGATTTCTCTTTCATGTTCTTCATTTTTCTCTCATAAATTAACTTTTTACAAATTCACTACTGATTTCCTTCTGTTAGGAAGCTATGGCTAGTCTTTCTAGAGCATTTGGAAGGATTCTATTTCTTGGCCATTGACCCTCTCCTCACCTTCCTTCCTCTTCTCCTTAGGATCCTTTATCCTTGTATAAGGTCTGCCCACCTCAACAGCCACTGGGCTAGGGTAAGTCACCTCTCCCCTAAGTCCTCACATAGCCAAATCCATCAGCCTTTTCCATTGCTGGGTAGCCTAGCAACAAACAGCCCCTATTCTGGTTCCCTGGCTTTTCCCCAACCATCCATCACCATGGCTGACACAAGGCAAAGGATGTGCACAGGAACAGATGTGCCGTGTTCTCAGCAGCTGTGAACTGTGCATCTCTGGTCAGACTTCCCAAGAGAAAAAAGCAATCCTCTATTTGTTGAGCTATAGGATTCCTGTCACTTGCAGCCTATACCTTCCTAAAACACAAAATATTTCATTTTTCATTATTTTTCTGTACTGTTTGAATATTTGATATTAAGCACATTTTCTATAGTCAAAACCCAGCACGTTATTTTCATCTTGAAAATAAAAATTATATAATTGGCTTACATCCTAGAAGTCAATTGCACAAAGTTTGTACAACCCTGGCCTAAACGGTAATGTCCAAGTAGTACTATGTTCACATAAGATGTTCTCATTGGCCAGGCGCAGTGGCTCATGTCTGTAATCCCAGCACTTTCGGAGGCCGAGGTAGGTGGATCACATGAGGACAGGAGCTCGAGACAAGCCTGGCCAACATAGTGAAACCCTGTCTCTACAAAAAATACAAAATATTAGCTGGACGTGGTGGCTCACACCTGTGGTCCCAGCTGCTTGGGAGGCTGAGGCGGGCAGATCACTTGAGCTCAGGAGGCAGAGGTTGCAATGAGCCAAGATCACACCACTGCACTCCAGCCTGGGCAACAGAGCAAGGCACTGTGTCACGGGGGATTTAAAAAAAAAAGATTTCTTATAGAGATCAGCACAGCCAGACAGGTTGCAAGGCTGGTCACAATGCATTGAGGTCTGCATCACTAGCGTCCCTCATCTGCCCTGCTGGAGCTGCTGACCTCTCTGAGGCTGCCTTTCACTGTCTCCCAATGTAGCCGTGTCTCCTACCTTTCTTCCTCTTCACCTGCTCCAAATACCCTGCTCTAGCCCTGAAAAGACCAAAGGTATAAATCAAATTCTTTCTAAGAAGCCAATTACAAGAGAGTTCTCTCTCAGCACAGAAATCCTGCCATGCTTTATCCCTGTACCTGCTTCCTTAGCTCTGAAAACGGAGAGGCCGGGCGCCGTGGCTCAAGCCTGTAATCCCAGCACTTTGGGAGGCCGAGACGGGCGGATCACGAGGTCAGGAGATCGAGACCATCCTGGCTAATATGGTGAAACCCCGTCTCTACTAAAAAATACAAAAAACTAGCTGGGCGAGGTGGCGGGCGCCTGTAGTCCCAGCTACTCGGGAGGCTGAGGCAGGAGAATGGCGTAAACCCGGGAGGCGGAGCTTGCAGTGAGCTGAGATCCGGCCACTGCACTCCAGCCTGGGCGACAAAGCGAGACTCCGTCTCAAAAAAAAAAAAAAAAAAAGAAAACGGAGAGAAAGGGAAACATGGCCCCCAGGGTGTCAGGAGCTGCCCTGTGAAGGTGGCGCTTTCCTCACCTTTGTTAGCCTCTGAATATTCTTCTTATAAAGAGATGACAAGCATTGCTTCACCAGTCCCATGTTGTTATCACGAGTGAAAGTTTCACTGTGCTTATTCACCAGGTTTCGGAGTTCTGAGGGGTTGTTGGTTGAATACACTTGTGCTAACTCGTGGTATGCATTGCTAAGAGGCTAAAGATGCAAAGGAGGGAAAAAATCAGATTAGAACTTCAGAAGAGGCCAGGCGTGGTGGCTCACGCCTGTAGTCTCAACACTTTGGGAGGCCGAGGCAGGCGGCCTGAGGTTCAGGAGTTCAAGACCAGCCTGACCAACCTGAAGAAACCCCGTCTCTATTAAAAGTACAAAATTAGCCAGGCATGGTAGCACATGCCTGTAATCCCAGCTACTTGGGAGGCTGAGGCAGGAGAATCGATTGAATATGGGAGGTGGAGGTTGTGGTGAGCCGAGATCATGCCACTGCACTCCAGCCTGAGAGACAAAAGCAAAACTCCGCCTCAAAAAAAAAAAAAAAAAAGAAAAAAATTTCCGAAGACTCAAATGTGTATAGGAAGCAAAAACACACTTACATATTATTTTTTAAACAAGTACATCCCATGTTGTCAGGTAACAACACACTGTTACCCTACAAATTATAATTTACCCAAAGCAAATGCCTGGTTTTTAAGACCAAATGGAGTAATTTCTTTTCTTTTTTTTTTTTTGTTTTTTTTTTTTTGAGACGGAGTCTCACTGTGTCTCCCAGGCTGGAGTGCAGTGGCGCGATCTCGGCTCACTGCAAGCTCCGCCCCCCGGGTTCACGCCATTCTCCCGCCTCAGCCTCCCAAGCAGCTGGGACTACAGGCGCCCGCTACCATGCCCTACCACGCCGGCTAGTTTTTTGTATTTTTAGTAGAGACGGGGTTTCACCATGTTAGCCAGGATAGTCTCGATCTCCTGACCTCGTGATCCACCCGCCTCGGCCTCCCAAAGTGCTGGGATTACAGGCTTGAGCGACCGCGCCTGGCCTGGAGTAATTTATTTTCAACAAAATTTTGTAGTACAGATCAAGTAGTAACACAGTAGGTGAAAACCCACTGAATTTAGTGAAGGCACACATCTTTATCAGTGGTTCTGTTTTTCTACTGATAAATCATATAGAGAAGGAAGGCGTCAAAACATTCATCATTCCCAACTCTCCCTCTCTCTTTCTCACACCTCACCAGATGCAATGGGACAATCTGCTACTTCTGCTAGCAAGAAAGAAGACGGGGCCAGGTGCCATGGCTCATGCCTGTAATCCCAGCACTTTGGGAGGCTGAGGCGGGTGGATCACGAGGTCAGGAGATCAAGGCAATCCTGGCTAACACGGTGAAACCCTGTCTCCACTAAAAATACAAAAAGTTAGCTGGGCATGGTGGCACACGCCTGTAGTTCCAGCTACTCAGGAGGCTGAGGCAGGAGAATCACTTGAATCCGGGAGGCAGAGGTTGCAGTGAGCCGAGATCACACCACTGCACTCCAGCCTGGGTGACAGAGTGAGACCCCATCTCAAAAAAAAAAAAGAAAGAAAACAAAATAAAGGCCAGGCTCAGTGGCACACACCTGAAATCCCAGCACTCTGGGAGGCAGAGGCAGAAGGACTGCTTGAGGCCAGGAGTTCAAGACCAACCTGGCCAACATAGCAAGACTCTGTCTCTGGGGGAAAAAAAATCAACTGTTACAGGAGCTTAAACACCTATAGCTGTAAGTACATAGAGCACAAGTTTGAAAACGGGTTCCTGAGAAATATTCCATCCCAATCAGGCAATGAAAATGTCTGCTAATCTGAAGCTGTTAGGAGAACTAAATCACTATAAAACCAAGTTACAGAACTGTATCATTGCAATTTCTTGATATACTCAACATGCACACATAAGAAATCAGTTTTATGTTAAAAAAAAAAAAAAAACTTACCTTAATGAATCTACCCACAATTTGAGATGTGTATTTTGGTAGCTGTTGTACTTTGCCAAGTAATATCAAAGACACTAAAATATACTTTTTATATGATTCTAACATGATATGACTGACCGCCATGGCAGGAGTAGTTATAGCCTAGGCAAAAGAAAAATGCTTACTGTAAAGAGAACATACCACAGTAGCAAACAGCAATCAACCACATGTATCACATTAATTATAAATCAGTAATACTTTTTAAACGTCCCATTATTTTTATAACAGTCTTGAGATATAATTCATTTTATTTTATTTTTATTTATTTATTTTTTAGAGACAGGGTCTCGCTCTGTCATCTAGGTTGGAGTGCAGTGATATAATTATGGCTCACTGCACCCTCAAACTCCTTGGGTTCAAGTGATCTTCCTGCTTCAGCTTCCTGAGTACCCGGGACTACAGGCATGGGCCACCATGCTTGACTAATTTTAAAATTTTTGGGCCGGGCGCGGTGGCTCAAGCCTGTAATCCCAGCACTTTGGGAGGCCGAGATGGGCAGATCACGAGGTCAGGAGATCAAGATCATCCTGGCTAACATGGTGAAACCCTGTCTCTACTAAAAAATACAAAAAACTAGCCAGGCGAGGTGGCGGGCACCTGTAGTCCCAGCTACTCGGGAGGCTGTGGCAGGAGAATGGCGTAAACCCAGGAGGCGGAGCTTGCAGTGAGCTGAGATCGGGCCACTGCACTCCAGCCTGGGTGACACAGCGAGACTCCGTCTCAAAAAAAAATAAAATAAAATAAAAAATAAAATAAAATAAAATTTTTGGCCGGGCACGGTAGCTCATGCCTGTAATCCCAGCACTTTGGGATGCCGAGCCAGGCAGATCACGAGGTCAGGAGATCAAGACGACCCTGTTTAACATGGTGAAACCCCATCTCTACTAAAAATATAAAAAATTAGCTAGGCATGGTGGTGGGCACCTGTAGTCCTAGCTACTCGGGAGGCTGAGGCAGGAGAATGGCATCAACCCGGGAGGTGGAGCTTGCAGTGAGCCGAGATCGCGCCACTGTACTGCAGCCTGGGTGACAAAGCGAGACCCCGTCTCAAAAAAAAAAAAAAAATTTTTTTGTAGAGATGGGGGTCTCACTATGCTGCTAAGGCTGGTCTTGAACTCCTGAGTTCAAGCAGTCCTCCCACTTCAGCATCCCAAAGTGCTGGGATTACTGGCATGAGCCGCCACGCCTGGCCACTTTCTTTTTATTTTTGAGGTGGAGTCTTGCTCTGTCACCCAGGCTGGAGTGCAGTGGTGTGATCTTGGCTCACTGCAACCTCCACCTCCTGGTCCAAGAGATTATCCTGCCTCAGCATCCCGAGTAGCTGGGATTACAGGTGCCTGCTGCCACGCCCAGCTAATTTTTGCATTTTTAGTAGACATTTTCACCACGTTGGCCAGGTTGATCTTGAATTCCTGACCTCAGGAGATTTGCCTGCCTCGGCCTCCCAATGTGCTGGGATTACAGGTGTGAGCCACCATGCCCAGCCTCTTGCTCTGTTTTTTTTTTTTTTTTTTTTCTTTTGAGACAGAGTTTTGATCTTGTTGCCCAGGCTGGAGTGCAATGGTGTGACCTCGGCTCACTGCAACCTCCGCCTCCTGGGTTCAAGTAATTCTCCTGCCTCAGCCTCCTGAGTAGCTAGGATTACAGGCATGCACCATCATGCCCGGCTAATTTTGTATTTTTAGTAGAGATGGGGTTTCTCCACGTTGATCAGGCTGGTCTCCAACTCCCAACCTCAGGTGATCCGCCCGCCTTGGCCTCCCAAAGTGCTGGGATTACAGGCATGAGCCACCGCACCCTCCCCTTCTTACCTTTTTAAAACACACATCATCTTGATATTTCAAGACCAGTTTGCTCATGAATTACTATATTTGGCTACAGCAATGATAATGCATCGAGTGGCTATGAAGTACATTTTTATAATTTTCTGAATCTGTAGTCTTAAAGAGAAGTCACCTTGAAGATTTGACCTGACTAGACACATGCTTTAATGACACCATTTCCACCTACTGGCACCTTATGGTGGCCCTTCTCAGGTCCCCTCAACAGGGCACATCAACCACTCATTATGGTATGGTTCAGAGCCACGGATGTGTGTACGTGTGTGTATTATGTATTAGAATTCCAACTAAACTGAGCTCCCTGAAGGTTTTAAATATCCTTTATTAATACATGCTATGAACTAAAAAGGAAAGTATGAACATCTAGCTAATTTACCTTAAGACAACGGGTTTATTAATCAATATTGTGTATCTCTTTTTCAAAGTCTGAGTAAAGCTCCAGAATAGTCTACCAAATTGTGCACTATGTTTCATTACACAGACACAGAAAGGGTGGGAGGGACTATTACTGTGTACTCCTCTATACCCTTTAAATTTTGAATCAAGAGAATGTTTCACTGAGTAAATAAAACTTAACAAAATACCACACATGGTTTTAGAATAAGACACATCCAAGATCATTCAGTTCAATCTCTTCCTTATATGCAAAGGAAGCTATAAAGGTCAAGAGATGTCATAACTTATCCCAAATCAGATAAGATATAAGTGCAAGCCTAGATTAGAACCCACCCACAAGTGCTCTTCTATGCACTGGCACTGCTCCTCAACTTAGGGATCAGGTTACCACCATTTACCTGATGACAGAGAAGCAGTCTCTGAAAGGACCACCACCTGAAACGGAGGCCCCGGGATCAGTCCACTCTAGCCACAAACCTATGGGATCACTTTTTTGATCACATGAGTTCAGAACAACCTCAGCTAATTTTTAGAGAAATGATTACCTGTTCATAAAAGTAGAGAGCTCTTTCAAAGTTCTTCAGCCCAGTATAGATCATTCCTCCATAATAATAGTAACATAAAAAGTGCTTTGCATCATAGGCTCCATTCTCTTTACAGATATCCATCATATCCACATCAAGATATGGAAGGGCAGGCTTAAAGCATTTTGCTAGCAAACAAAGCTGTGAACAAATTGATATTAAATCATCACTTTAATTTTACTTAGGCAGGTATTAGCAGAAGAAGAAAATTCATAGATTCCAGAAATTTCCAAATAATGTAATTGTGTTTTACATTTTATTGACTAAAATGATCTAAATGTCAACACATTTCATGTATCTGCTATCTGAAATGCTTAGGACCAGAAGTGTTTCAAATTTTGGAATATTTGCAGAATACATACCAGTTAAGCATCCCTAATCTGAAAACCTGAAATGCAATTGCTCCAATGAGCACTTTGAGTGCCAAGTTGGCACTCTAAAGATTTCAGATTTTGGAGCATTTTGGGTTTCAAATTTTCAGATTAGGACTAATCAACCTGTACTCCATTTTCTTAGCCATTCAGAATAAAATAGCATTACTTTTTTTTTTTTTTTAATGAGACGGAGTCTCACTCTGTCACACAGGCTGGAGTGCAGTGGCATATCTCGGCTCACTGCAACCTCTGCCTCCCGGGTTCAAGTGATTCTCCTGCCTCAGCCTCCTGAGTAGCTGGGATTACATGTGTGCACCACCACACCCAGCTAATTTTTGTATTTTTAGTAGAGACGGGGTTTCACCACATTGACCAGGCTGGTCTCGAACTCCTGACCTCAAGTGATCCATCCACCTTTGCCTCCGAATGTGCTAGGATTACAGGCGTCAGCCACCTCACCTGGTGGAGCATTTCTTTATAAAAAGCTAAACAGCTATAAGGCCAAGCATGCTATAGACGATTGAGAATAGAGAATTCTGGCCGGGCGCGGTGGCTCAAGCCTGTAATCCCAGCACTTTGGGAGGCCGAGGTGGGCGGATCACAAGGTCAGGAGATCGAGACCACAGTGAAACCCCGTCTCTACTAAAAATACAAAAAATTAGCCGGGCGCGGTGGCGGGCGCCTGTAGTCCCAGCTACTCAGGAGGCTGAGGCAGGAGAATGGCGTGAACCCAGGAGGCGGAGCTTGCAGTGAGCCGAAATCGCGCCACTGCACTCCAGCCTGGGCAACAGCGTGAGACTCCGTCTCAAAAAAAAAAAAAAAAAAAAGAGAGAATAGAGAATTCTACAGACAAGACTCAGTTATCCCTTAACCTATCCCTACCCATCTGATTAGAGGGCAAAAGAGTGTGTCCTCTTTCTCTTTACTGAACTAGTGGAATGGAAAGAGACCAGCATGGTGTAAGTAGAAGTGCTTCCTTTAATTAATCCTTTCCAGTGTTTTAATCCTTTAGGTAAATGTAGGGAATTGTGCAACTCAGCAAACCAAGCCCTTAGAACAGTTATCTAGCTAATGGAGACGCAGTGTAGACATGCATACGAACTCACTGAGCTATACACTTTAGTATTTTACTGTATGTATGTTGTACCTCAATCACAATTTTTTTAAAACATTAAAAAAAGACACATCTTCATATGAAACTAGAACATGTGTTTGAAATAATCCACACACCATGTTATTCTTGAAGGAAACAATGTAAATACCCATGCAGACTTGTGAAACCATGGCATACTCATATTATAGACTACTCCGTACCTGTAGAGTACCACTACGGAATCATCTCCAAGATACGTTAAATACAAAAAGCAAGCCACAGAAGAGTCTGCATAGATTAAAATTTGTGTAAAAAATGAGAAAATATATATTCATATTTGCTTTTATGTCCATAAAAAGTCTTTGGAAGGATACACAAAAAATTACTAACATAGTTTCCTTTTAGAGAAGAAATAGATGGCTAGCAAACAGAATGGAAAGGAGACTTCATTATATACCTGCCCTCCTCACAAAATAAGATAAATAAATGAGGCCAGGCATGGTGGTTCACGCCTGTAATCCCACCACTTTGGGAGGCTGAGGCAGGCAGATCACTTGAGGTCCGGAGTTCAAGACCAGCCTGGCCAACATGGTAAAACCCCATCTCTACCAAAAATACAAAAATTAGCCAGGTGTAGTGGTACACGTCCATAATCCCAGCTACTTAGGAGGCTGAGGCAGGAGAATTGCTTGAACCTGGGAGGCGGAGGTTACAGTGAGCCTAGATCGTGCCACTGCGCTCCAGCCTGGGCAACAGAGCAAGACTCTATCTCAAAAAAAAAAAAAAAAAAAAGATTAACAAGTAACATTTTATGGTGTAAGAAGTTAGATATGTTCAGTCTCAGGTTCCACAATTTTTTTTTTTCTTGAGACAGAGTTTGATTCTTACGGCCCTGGTTGGAATACAATGGTGCAATCTCGGCTCACCACAACCTCTGCCTCCTGGGTTCACGCAATTCTCCTGCCTCAGCCTCCCAAGTAGCTGAGATTACAGGCACGTGCCACCACGCCCAGTTAATTTTGTATTTTTAGTAAAGACGGGGTTTCTCCATGTTGGTCAGGCTGGTCTAGAACTCCAGACCTCAGGTGATCCACCAGCCTCAGCCTCCCAGTGTTGGGATCACAGGTGTGAGCCACCACACCCAGCAGGTTCACAATTTTAAAAGAATGATTCAGGATTTTTTAAAAAGTTACAACTAGGGCTGGGCGTGGTGGCTCACACCTGTAATCCCAGCACTCTGGGAGGCTGAGGCAGGTGGATCGCAAGGTCAGGAAGGAGTTCAAGGCCAGCTTGGCCAACGTGGTGAAACCCTGTTCTACTAAAAATACAAAAATTAGCCAGGTGTGGTGGTGGGTGCCTGTAGTCGCAGCTACTCAAGAGGCTGAGGCAGGAGAATTGCTTGAACCCGGGAGGCAGAGGTTGCAGTGAGCTGAGATCGTTCCACTGCACTCCAGCCTGGATGACAAAGCAAGAATCTGTCTAAAAAAAAAAGTTACAAGAATTAATTATCCTATCTGTTCAACAAGCTTACTAGTTGAGCCCTATCCTAGAGTTTGCATCCAGCACCCGCCTGAATGTAACAGATGTACCTACATATTCTGACTTCTATAACACATCACAATATCCGCCAACTTGCCTTCGTTTATCAAACCCAATGTTGAGCAAGCCCATCAACAACCTACACCTCTGAGTTGGTGTGAATCACACACTTTGGCTGCTTACCTGGCAGAGATCAGCATGTATTGAGGTCAGCTGGTTTGTATTCATCTGCATCTTGTCTATGGCTTGCTTAAGGATGCCAATTCCTCGCAGGGGCTGTCAGAAATGACATCTCTTTCAGATAAGTTCTCAAAGATGGCAGCACATTGGATCTTATGTTGTCACTTACAAATAAAAAATAACACTAATTGATAGGTTCCTTTAAATAGCAATATGAGGTTTCCATACTCTTTCAGGAAATTTCTGTACCATTTAAGTCAGAAAATGTTTTCTTAAGCTGTTTCTTGGAATTTTTAGATAACTCAGCACCATTTTTAAAATCATAAAAAGCTTTTATTTTTACAATGAAGATCAATAATCAAAAACAGTATTACTTTCTGAACAGTTCATTATATTAACATCTAAACAAACGAAAACTTTCCAAATCACTTATTATACAAGAGACAACAGCCTATGTTTAGGAAAATTACTTGTGGATAAGGGTGTTGGCATTTTCCCATAGGGCAGTCTACCCCTTAACTGGTAGTAAATTACTACCAAAACTAATACCATAGATTTCAAAAGGACTGTTTCCTGCCCTGATTATAAATAACAAGACCAAGTGTCAAATGAGGCATAATCTGTTTTTGAAAGACTAAAATATAGTCTCTTCCAAAATTGCTGGGCACGGTGGCTCACACCTGTAATCCCAGCATTTTGGGAGGTCAAGGTGGGTGGATCACGAGGTCAGGAGATTGAGATCATCCTGGCCAACGTGGCAAAACCCCGTCTCTACTAAAAATACAAAAATTAGCTGGGCATGGTGGCATGCGCCTGTAGTAACAGCTACTAAGGAGGCTGAGGCAGGAAAATCGCTTGAACCAGGGAGGTAGAGGTTGCAGTGAGCTGAGATCATTCCACTGCACCCCAGCCTGGGCAACAGAGCAAGACTCCATCTCAAAAAAAAAAAAAAAAAAAAAAATATATATATATATATATATGAAGAGACTAAAAATAGCTCAATAACTTACAGCTTTTTCAAAAACTCATGATTTTTCTTAACCATCTCTTTCAAACACAGTTACTTAGTACTACAAAATAACAACTGGTTCTATTTTCAGCCTCTTTCAAACCACTGATCTTAAATTCACTTTCAAGTTAAAAAGAAACAACTGTCTGGTGCAGCGGCTCACACCTGTAATCTCAGCACTTTGGGAGGCTGAAGCAGGCGGATCATCTGAGGTCACGAGTTCTAGAGACTAGCCTGGACAACACAGCAAAACCTCACCTCTATTAAAAATACAAAAATCATTGGGAGGCCGAGGCAGGCGGATCACCTGAGGTCAGGAATTTGAGACCAGCCTGGCCAAACATGGTGAAACCCTGTCTCTACTAAAATTAGCCGGGCATGGTAGCTGTAATCCTAGCTACTCGGGAGGCTGAGGCAGGAGAATTGCTTGAACCCAGGAGGCAGAGGTTGCAGTGAGCCGAGATTGTGCCATTGCACTCCAGCCTGGGTGACAGAGCAAGACTCTGTCTCAAAAAACAAAACAAAAATCAGCTGGGAAAGGTGGCACGTGCCTGTAGTCCCAGTTACTCAGGAGGCTGAGGCACGAGAATCGCCTGAAGCCGGGAGGTGGAGGTTGCAGTGAGCTGAGATCACACCACTGCACTCCAGCCTAGGCAACAGAATGAGACTCCAATTCAAAAAAATAAATAACTAAATAAAAACTTTAAAAACCCACATTATAGGATGAGCGTGGTGGCTCACACCTGTAATCCCAGCACTTTGGGAGGCTGAGGCGGTTGGATCACGACGTCAGGAGATCAAGACCATCCTGTCTAACATGGTCTCTACTAAAAATACAAAACATTAGCCGGGGGTGGTGGTGGGCGCCTGTAGTCCCAGCTACTCGGGAGGCTGAGGCAGGAGAATGGCATGAACCCAGGAGGCAGAGGTTACAGTGAGCCGAGATTGCACAACTGCACTCCAGCCTGGGCGACAGAGCGAGACTCTGTCTCAAAACAAACAAAAAAACAAAAAAAACCCATATTATAAATTGTGTTAATATTATAAAAGATAAAGACTGAAGCACTGTTCCAGATTAAGGGACACTAAAGAGACAAAGCAATGTAATGCAATCCATGGTCCATGGTTTTCTTTTGCTATATGGTACACTGTCTGAACAGCTAATGTCCTTTTATAGCAAAAGACAGTCCTTTTCACTGGCCAAAAATCTAAATGGGGTCCGTCAATTTGTTGATGAATTATATTAACGTTCATTTCTGGGCCGGGCGTGGTGGCTCCCGCCTGTAATCCTAGCACTTTGGGAGGCCAAGGCGGGAGGACTGCCTGAGCTCAGGAGTTCAAGACCAGTCTGGCAACATGGTGAAACCCAGTCTCTACTAAAATACAAAAAATTAGCTGGGCGTGGCAGCATGCACCAGTAGTCCCCAGCTACTCAGGAGGCTGAGGCAGAATTGCTTGAACCTGGGAGGCAGAGGTTGCAGTGAGCAGAGATGGTGCCATTGCACTCCAGCCCAGGCATCAGTGCGAGCCTCTGTCTCCGAAAAAAAAATAAAATAAAAAAAGTAAGAGTTCATTTCTGGATGCTGACCATTACACTGTGCTATGTAAGAGAATGTCCTAATTTTTAGGCTTTACCCACTGAAGTATTTAGGGATAAAGAACAGCAATAGCATATCTGCAATTTACTTTCCAATGGCTCAGAATAAAAGAGAGAGGAAGAGAAAAAAAGAATAAGTGTGATAAAATGTTAACATTTGGAGAATCTAGGTGAAATGTATGAAGATTTGTGGTGTTATTCTTAAAGCTTTTTGTAAGGCTAAAATAATGTCCTAATTAAATGTTAAAACAAAAAATGTAACAGACAAAACCCAGCATATTACAACATAAAGGGAACTAGCAGCTGGTTGCAGTGGCTCACGCCTGTAATCCCAGCACTCTGGGAGGCCGAGGCGGGCAGATCATGAGGTCAGGAGATCGAGACCACGGTGAAACCCCATCTCTACTAAAAATGCAAAAAATTAGCCGGGTGTGGTGGCAGGCGCCTGTAGTCCCAGCTACTCGGGAGGCTGTGACAGAAGAATGACGTGAACCCAGGAGGCAGAGCTTACAGTGAGCCGAGATTGTGCCACTGCACTCCAGCCTGGGTGACAGAGCGAGACTCTGTCTCAAAAACAAAAAAACAACAACAAAAAAACACACGGTACTAGCTTGGTAATTCCAACTACTTGCTGGTTCCAGCAGCAGCCTCCCTGAGGCGCCACACCTCCCCATGCCCCCACCTCATTCAGGGGACGTGGGGGCTTCCTGTGCTTACAGCAATGACTGTGAGTGCTCTCAAGTGACCACAGATATCTAGGTGGTGGATGCTCAGTACTAACCGGAATCTTAATAAAGTAGTTCACTGTGTAAGCTAGTTACATATTTTAACAAAACTAGGAATACTTGAATAGTATTTCTTACCTGTTTTCTTTCCACAAGTGCATTTGTTAGCTGATGGCAAAGCCCAGCAACTAGATACAATAACAAAATATTGAAAATATAAATATAACCACAAGGGCAAAATATTTTCAATGGAGAATAAAATGTTATTTAGCTTACAAGTGTCTGTTGCATATCGAATGTGCTCCCCATTACAAGTACTGATGAAGAGTTGAACCTGTGAGAATAGCGTTTCAAAGTCAGGAACACTGGGCATAGAAAACTTCACAAACCTAGAATAAGGAGAAAATAATCAAATTACCCTGATAGTTCATGGGATAAAATACAGAAGCAACGTATCCAAGAAATCCATCCTGCCTCTGATACTCTGTAAAATTAAATGAGCAACAGTATTTTTTAGAATTAAGAACTAGGCCAGGACAGTGGCTCATGACTGTAATCCAAGCACTTTCGGAGTCAGAGGCAGGAGGACTGCTAAAGGCCAGGAGTTTGAGACCAGTCTGGGCAACATGGTAACACCCTGTCTCTACTACAAAAAATGAATTAGCCAGGCGTGGAGGTGCATACCTGTAGTTGCAGATACTTGGGAGGCTGAGGCTGGAGGATCACTTGTGCCTAGAAGGTTGAGGCTGCAGTCAGCTATGATCATGCCACTGCACTCCAGCCTGAGTGACAGAGCAAGATCCAGTTTTAAAAAGCAAATAAATAAGAACTAGAATCTGTGAGATTTTCCTGACCTGATTATTTTGCACAATCAAGATACAGAACAGACACAAATAAGGGTTAAGAAAAATAAGTGGCTGGGCACGGTGGCTCACGCCTGTAATCCCAGCACTTTGGGAGGCCGAGGCGGGTGGATCACGAGGTCAGGAGATCGAGACCAGCCTGGCTAACACGGTGAAACCCCATCTCTACTAAAAATACAAAAAATTAGCCGGGCGTGGTGGTGGGCACCTGTAATCCCAGCTGCTTGGGAGGCTGAGGCAGGAGAATGGCATGAACCTGGGAGGCTGAGCTTGCAGTAAGCCGAGATTGTGCCACTGCACTCTGCAGCCTGGGCAACAGAGCGAGACTCCATCTCAAAAAAAAAAAAAAAAAAAAAAACCCAGAAAAAAGAAAAATATGTTTATGCCCAGCACGGTGGCTCACACTTGTAATCCCAGCACTTTGGGAGGCCAAGGCGGGTGGATCACCTGAGGTCAGGAGTTCGAGACCAGCATGACAAACATGGAAAAACCCCGTCTCTACTAAAAATACAAAAAATTAGCGGGGCGTGGTGGTGCATGCATGCCTGTAATAACAGCTACTTGGGAGGCTGAGGTAGAATCACTTGAATGCGGGAGGTGGAGGTTGCAGTTAGCTGAAATGGTGCCATTGCACTCCAGCCTGTGCAAAAAGAGCAAAACTCCATCTCAAAAAAAAAAAAAAAATATATATATATATATATATATATATGTTTAATAAGGAACAACTTTCAAGATGAAAAATTCCACTAAATGAAGCCAAATAGGCTGGGCATGGTGGCTCAAGCCTGTAATCCCAGCACTTTGGGAGGCCGAGGTGGGCAGATCACAAAGTCAGGAGCTTGAGATCAGCCTAGCCAATGTGGTGAAACCCCATCTCTACTAAAAACACAAAAATTAGCCGGCCGTGGTGGCACATGCCTGTAGTTCCAGCTACTCAGGAGGCTGAGACAGGAGAATTGCTTGAACCTAGGAGGCGGAGGTTGCAGTGAGCCGAGATCGTGCCACTGTACTCCAGCCTGTGAGACAGAGCAAGACTGTCTCAAAAAAAAAAAAAAAAAAAAAAAAAAGGCCGGGCGTGGTGGCTCACGCCTGTAATCCCAACGCTTTGGGAGGCCGAGGTGATTGGATCACAAGGTCAGGAGATTGAGACCATTCTGGCTAACACGGTGAAACCCCGTCTCTGCTAAAAATACAAAAAATTAGCCAGGCATGGTGGCAGGCACCTCTAGTCCCAGCTACTCAGGAGGCTGAGGCAAGAGAATGGCGTGAACCTGGGAGGCAGAGCTTAAGGTGAGCCTAGATCGCGCCAGTGCACTCCAGCCTGGGCGACAGAGCGAGACTCCGTCTCAACAAACAAACAAACAAACAAACAAAAAATCAGTTGTTGCAGGTGGGCATAGTGGCTCCTGCCTGTAATCCCAACACTTTGGGAGGCAGAGGCAGGTGGATCACTTGAGGCCAGAAGCTCCAGACCAGCCTGGCCATCCACTGAAACCCTGTCTTTACTAATATAAAAATTAGTCAGGTGTGGTGGCGCACACTTGTAGCCCCAGCTACTCAGGAGGCTGAGTCATGAGAACTGCTTGAGCCTGGAAGGCAGAGGCTGCAGTGAGCCGAGATTGCACCACTGCACTCCAGCCTGGACGACAGAGGGAGACTCCATCTCAAAACAAAAAACAAAAAACTGTTGTTGCTTTTCCTGTTTTGAGGACATACTAAGGGGGACCAAGAGTGAGAGCTATGGGCTGGCTGGAGGTGGGCAGAGGCTTAGGTTAAAGATGCTGCCATCAGCAGCTGTGTGGTCTACTTGGGAATAACACTGACAGAACAACTGATGGGCAGGACAGGAGGAGTGGAGTGGTGAGGAGGAGGACTCAGGTGATCCTTCCCAAGTAACTCGGCAGATGGTGCCATCAACTGCCATAAGAAACACTCCAAGGCGGCGCTGGTGATAGGTTTTAGGAGAGAAATCATGTAAACTAGCACTATTAAGGCAATGGTTGTAAGTAAATTTCAAGTTCTTTTCTTTTTTTTTTTTGAGACGGAGTCTCGCTCTGTTGCCCAGGCTGGAGTGCAGTGGCCGGATCTCAGCTCATTGCAAGCTCCGACTCCCGGGTTTAGGCCATTCTCCTGTCTCAGCCTCCTGAGTAGGTGGGACTACGGGCGCCCACCACCTCGCCCAGCTAGTTTTTTTGTATTTTTTAGTAGAGACAGGGTTTCACCAGGTTAGCCAGGATGGTCTCGATCTCCTGACCTCATGATCCGCCCGTCTTGGCCTCCCAAAGTGCTAGGATTATAGGCTTGAGCCACAGCGCCCGGCCAGAAATTTCAAGTTCTTTTCTAGAAAAAAAAAGTACTGTTGAAACATAATTTCAAGAAAAATCAGGGCAGACACCGTGGCTCACACTTCTAATCTCAGCACTTTGGGAGGCCAAGGCAGGCAGATTACTTGAGGTCAAGAATTCAAGACCAACCTGGCCAACGTGGCAAAATCCGGTCTCTACTAATAATATGAAAGTTAGCTGGGCATACTGGCATGCACCTATAGTCCCAGCTACTTGGGAGGCCAAGGCAGGAGAATCACTTCAACCCAGGAGGCAGAGGCTGCAGTGAGCAGAGGTCCCGCCACTGCACTGCAGCCTGGGGGACAGAGTGAAACTGTGTCTCAAAGGAAAAAAAAAAAAAAGCAAGCTGGGTGCAGTGGCTCACGCCTGTAATCCCAGCATTTTGGGAGGCCAAGGTGGGCGGACCATGAGGTCAGGAGTTCAAGACCAGCCTCGTCAACACAGTGAAACCCCCTCCCTACTAAAAATACAAAAATTTGCTGGGTGTGGTGGCATGCACCTGTAGTCCCAGCTACTTGGGAGGCTGAGGTGGGAGAATCGCTTGAACCTGGGAGGCGGAAGTTGCAGTGAGCTGAGACCACACCACTGCACTCTAGTCTGGATGACAGAGTGAGACTGTCTCAAAAAAAAAAAAAGAAAGAAGAAAAGAAAAACTAAATGGATATTACCTAACCGTAATTTCTCCTACATCTTTTGGTTTGTCTACTTCCAACTGTACTGCATTATTTGACTTAACAATGTCACCATACATTCGTATTTACACTGTGTAATTATTAGACACATGAGAAACAATTTCACTTGGGGTTCACAATAGGTCAGTGAGGCATTGCAACTGCCAGTTTATAAATAAAAACGTGAAGCTCAGGGCCAGGAGCGGTGGCTCACACCTGTAATCCCAGCATTTTGGGAGGCCTAGGCAGGCAGATCACGAGGTCAGGAGGTCAAGACCATCCTGGCTAACACGGTGAAACCCCGTCTCTACTGAAAATACAAAAAATTAGCCGGGCATAGTAGCGGGCACCTGTAGCCCCAGCTACTCAGCCTGTAGTCCCAGCTACTCGAGAGGCTGAGGCAGGAAAATGGCGTGAACCCGGGAGGCGGAGCTTGCAGTGAGCCGAGATCGCGCCACTGTACTCCAGCCTGGGCAACAGAGCTAAGCTCCATCTCAAAAAAAATAAAATAAAATAAAATAAAAATAAAAATAAAAAATATGAAGCTCTGGGCCCCACAACTCAAAATTGGGAGAATATACAGATTCAAAACCAGGGTCCTCAGCCAGAATCTCAGGGTTCTTTCCATACCTTACCTAACACATACAATGGTAAAGCACCTTACAGCTTCAAAATGCTTTCATGTCCATTACTCACCTGATACATACATATATGTGAGTTTATGTGTGTATAAAACACGCATGCTGGCCAGGCGTGGTGGCTCAAGCCTGTAATCCCAGCACTTTGGGAGGCCGAGTCGGGCGGATCACGAGGTCAGGAGATCGAGACCATCCTGGCTAACCCGGTGAAACCCCGTCTCTACTAAAAAGTACAAAAAAAAAAACTAGCCGGGCGAGGTGGCGGGCGCCTGTAGTCCCAGCTACTTGAGAGGCTGAGGCAGGAGAATGGCGTAAACCCGGGAGGCAGAGCTTGCAGTGAGCTGAGATCCGGCCACTGCACTCCAGCCTGGGCGACAGAACGAGACTCTGTCTCAAAAAAAAAAAAAAAAAAATGCATGCTGTCTGTTCTTTTTTGAGATAGGGTCTTGATGTCACTCAGGCTGAAATGCACTAGTGCAAGCATAGCTCACTGTAGCCTTGACCTCCCAGCCTCAAGCAATCCTCCCACTTCAGCCTCCTGGGTAGCTGGGACCACAGGCATGCGCCACCACACCCGGCTTTTTTTTGGGGGGCGGGGGTGGGGGACAAGGTCTTGCTCTGTCACCCAGGCAGAAGTGCAGTGGCACGAGCACAGCTCACTGCAGCTTCAATCTCCTGGACTCAAGTGATCCTCCCACCTCAGCCTCCTGAGTAGCCAGGACCACGGGTGTACACCACCACGCCTGCCTAATTTTTGTACTTTTTGTAAAGACAGGGTTTCGCCATGTTTCCCAGGCTAGTCTCGAACTCCTGAGCTCAGGCAATCTGCCCACCTCAGCCTCCCAAAGTCCTGGGATTACAGGCATAAGCCACCATACCTGGCCACTTTTTTTTCCGTAGAGATGGGGTCTTGCTATGTTGCCCAGGCTGGTCTCAAACAGAGACTCCCAAAGTGCTAGGATTACAGGTGTGAGCCACTGTGCCCAGCATCTGCTCTTTTATATAAATAAGAAAATACAGACAGTAGAAATCCTTACCAGCACTGTCCAATAGAACTATCTGCAGTGGTGGAAATGTTATAGATCTGTGCTAAGACAAGGACATGTGACCACATGTGGCTACTGGGTACTTGAAACATGGCAAGTGCACTCGAATCTTTAATTTTAATTTAAATAGCTGCATATGGCTAGTGGCCACCACCATATTGCAGAGCATAACTCTAGATCCTTCCATTCTGACAAAGATTCTTCTCTAAACTCTGCTCCAGACACATACCTTTGTCTCAGGAATCCCAGTGTAAGTGAAGCCAGACTCTCACTTTAAGTCAATTTCTTCTCAGTTTATTTATATCATTTCAAATGTCATGACAACCACAATATCCCAATTTATAATACTATAACATCAAGAGAATTACTGTCAAGTACACAGTTACAAAGAACCCCAATTAAAATAAGGTCTATTTAATTTGGTCTTAAATAGCTTAAATTTGTTTGAAGGGAATTCTAAGCAATGTTGCTTTGGACCTTTCATACTTTTTCTTTTTTTGAGACAAGGTCTCACTTTGTCATGCAGGCTGGAGTGCGATGGCTTAACTGTAGCTTACTGAAGCCTTGAACTTCTGGGCTCAAGCGATCCTCCCACCTCAGCATCTTGAGAAGCTAGGCATGTACACTACACCCAGTGGTACAGGCATGTACCACTACACCCAGCTAACTTTTTTATTCTTTGCAGAGATAGGGCCTTGTTATGTTGCCTAGGCTGGTCTCAAACTCCTGGCCTCAAATGATCCTCCCATCTTGGCCTCCCAAAGTGTTGGGATTGTAGGCATGAGCAACTGTGCCCAGCCGATATTTTCATTCAATGTATTCTGCCGTGCCCTGTGGCAGTACTCTTCCGAATTTCTTTTTAATTTAGAAAATGTGGACAATCCTATGGATTACATGAATAAAAGTACTCAGATAAATGCAAACTATACTCCCCACAATTCAGATGGCCATTTTTTAAAACAAATTTTCAGAATTTGTATAAACATAAAGGTTTTCTTTTTTTTTTTTTGAGACAGTCTCACTCTGTCACCTAGGCTGGAGTGCAGTGGCACGATCTCAGCGCACTGCAACCTCCACCTCCCAGGTTCAAGCAATTCTCCTGTTTCAGCCTCCTGAGTAGCTGGAATTACAGGCACCCACCACCATGCCCAGCTAATTTTTATATTTTTAGTAGAGACAGGGTTTCACTCTATTGGTCAGGCTGGTCTCAAACTCCTGATCTCAGGTGATCCACCCGCCTCGGCCTCCCAAAGTGCTGGGATCATAGGCATGAGCCACTGTGCCCGGACACATGCACTCCAGCCTGGGTGACAGAGCAAGGCTCCGTCTCAAAAAAAAAAAAAAAAGATAAAATTGAACAAAATATAACAAGCAATGATTAGTTGGAATGATTAAACTGTAACTGCTATAATTTCAGTTTTGCAAAAGAGCTCAATGTTGTTTACAATAGTTTACTTTCTATACCAAAAATAAATAAATAAGTAAAAATAAAGCCAGGGCCAGGCGCGGTGGCTCACACCTGTAATCCCAGCACTTTGGGAGGCTGAGGCGGGCGGATCACAAGGTCAGGAGATGGAGACCATCCTGGCTAACATGGTGAAACCCCGTCTCTACTAAAAATACAAAAAATTAGCCGGGCGTGGTGGCGGGCGCCTGTAATCCGAGCTATTCGGGAGGCTGAGGCAAGAGAATGGTGAGAACCCAGGAGGTGGAGCTTGCAGTGAGCCAAGATTGCGCCACTAAGACTGAGACTCCGTCTTGAATAAATAAACAAATAAAAATAAAGCCAGAAAGTGCAGAATGTTCGGTTTTAACAAGCACAAAACTATAAAAGAAGATGCCCCTTACAAAACAGCAAGGACGCCCAAGGAGTGTTCTTGTACATCCAGAGCCCCGAGCACAGTGTCCAGATGGGATAAGTTCTTCGCAAGGAGTTCCCCACTCTTGTTGATCAGTTCACAAAGCTGTGTCATTTGCCCTGGAAAACAGAAACAACACTATTGCATTTTAGCTACAGCACTAACTAAACTAATGGAACTCTAACCACAACTTTGTGCTTCAGAGCCTGAAGTGCCCAAAAAGGATTCTTACATCTCCTTCATTTCAGATGAGGATCCTGAAGGACTGGAGGGGTGAATCAACCTATCCATGGTCTCAAAACGAGTTAGAGATTACCTGGACCTCCCACTTCTCTCTGACTCTGAATGTTTCACCTTTTTCTCTATTCTCTTTTCCAGTCTCCCAAGCCAAAATGCAAATGTTACTATTAACAGCTCTCTGCATCCAAATGATTTAGTTTTTCTTCCTAGGTCTCTCAGCTCCATTTCTTTCTCTCTCCCCTCTCTGCCCTAATTCAGATCCTCATCATTTTTTCTCTGGATTACATCATAAATTTTTTTTTTTCTTTTTTTGAGACGGAGTCTCACTCTGTCGCCCAAGCTGGAGTGTAGTGGCGCAATCTCGGCTCACTGCAACCTCCGCCTCCGAATTCAAGCGATTCTCCTGCCTCAGCCTCCCAAGTAGCTGGGATTATAGGCGCCTGCCACCGCACCTGGCTAATTTTTCGTAGTTTTACTAGAGACGGGGTTTCACCTTCTTGGCCAGGCTGGTCTTGAACTCCTGACCTTGTGATCCACCTACCTCGGCCTCCCAAAGTGCTGGGATTACAGGCGTGAGCCACCGCGCCCAGCCTACATCATAAATCTTCTAAATGGTCTGCCTACTGTGATCTTTCTCTCCTCCAACCCACACTCCATATTAGTACTGTCAGTTCTAAACTGTGCATTCAATCAAGTTACTCCAATGACTTTAAGAAGTGCAAACGTCTCAGCCTGGACTAAGGTCCTTCAGTAACTGGTCCCTGCTATCTTTCCAGCCTTATCTCCTGCTACTTCCCCTCACACACCTACTCTCTGATTACAGCAAGCTCAGAAAATCAACATTCTATCTTCTCTCCTCTTTATGCTTCTACACATGGCTGTTTTCTGTCCTTCTCCCCCACATCCTCTGCTATGAACTGAGCCTCATCCAGCATTCAACAATCAACTTGCGGCGTCTCTGGACCCTCATCTCAGCTCCCTTCCTCATGGCTAAGCTGGGTATCTGCCCTCTCTGCCTCGCATGGGACTGCGGTGGTTAGGTAATTCAGTAAACTCAGGTGGAGGGACTGTCCCTCTCTCCAGCTCTAGAATACAACACTTGCTTAGCAGCTCATCAAGCAGCTACTTGTTGAATTAATCTCCTAATTGATCTATTTTTCCCCTATACTGCAATAGTATGTTTGTTTTGTTTTGTTTTTTGAGACAGGGTCTCGTTCTGTCGCCCAGGCTGCAGTGCAGTGGTGTGATCACAGCTCAAAGCAGCCTCCACGTCCTGAGTTCAAGCAATCCTCCCACCTTAGCCTCCTGAGTAGCTGGAACTACAGGTGTACGTCACCATGTCCATCTTATTTTTTAAGTTTTTTTGTAGAGACAGGAGTCTCGCTATGTTGCCCAGGCTGGTCTCTAACTCCTGGGCCCAAGTAATCCTCCCACCTTGGCCTCCCAAAGTGCTGGGATTAGAGGCGTGAGCTACCATGCCCAGCCTGCAATGCTACACTTTAACAACTAAGGTACAGAATCTATTAATAATTAGGCCTCAGCCGGGTGCTGTGGCTCACATCTATAATCCTAGCACTTTGGGAGGATAAGGTGGACAAATCTCGAGGTCAGGAGTTCAAGACCAGGCTGGCCAACATGGAGAAATCGTCTCTACTAAAAATACAAAAATTAGCTGGGTGTGGTGGCACACACCTGTAATCCCAGCTACTAGGGAGACTGAGGTGGGAGAATCCTTGAACCCGGGAGACGGAGGCTGAAGTAAGCTGAGATTGCACCACTGCACTCCAGCCTGGGCAACAAAGCAAGACTCTGTCTCGGGGGAAAAAAAAATTAGGCCTAAATTGGTACCTCGAAGTAGACCCATCAATTTTTTTTTTTTTTTTTTTGAGACGGAGTCTCGCTCTGTCGCCCAGGCTGGAGTGCAGTGGCGCGATCTCGGCTCACTGCAAGCTCCGCCTCCCGGGTTCACGCCATTCTCCTGCCTCAGCCTCCCGAGTAGCTGGGACTACAGGCGCCCACAACCGCGCCCGGCTAATTTTTTGTATTTTTAGTAGAGACGGGGTTTCACCGTGGTCTCGATCTCCTGACCTTGTGATCCGCCCGCCTCGGCCTCCCAAAGTGCTGGGATTACAGGCGTGAGCCACCTCGCCCGGCAGACCCATCAATTTTGACAATTACTCTCATGAAGATAGGATGGTCACACTCTAGCTGTCTTTCTAGTAACAGCAGGGATACATTTAAGACCATGGGCATTAACCTCAAGTTTCCAACTTCTCTATTTCTGCAGAGCAACTGCATAATCTTTTCCTTACTAAAAGAATACAACATAGTATAAAGTTTAAAATACAAGTGACTATAGCTAGGTACTTTTGATAATTTAACACTTTTCAATTTGATACGTTTTACTGAAAGCAAAGGAAACATATTACACACATGCATTACAAAACAAAAATAAAACAGCTGTGATCTTATTAGGTATCACCTCTTGAGATCACACAGATTTAACTGGGAAATACCAACTCATCTTCATTGTATTACAGATCTCACTGGTAGGTATGAAGTAACTTCTTCTAATTGAATAATTTGCCTTTTAACCTATTACTCTAAATATATTAACAATAATTTGTAGCACCCAGAAATAAGCATTGCAATCCATTAGTTCTCTACTAGTTAACAATCAGTGCCAAGTTGAGACTGAAATAAAAGCTGGGTCACTATAGAATCATTAGATAATTAATTAGTGCAGGGCCAAGGGCAGAGTCAAAAAAAAGCTTAAGTGTCACAGAGTGCATCTGAAATCAGTCCAACCAGAGATGTGGGCAATAAAATTCTTTTATTTATTTATTTATTTATTTTGAGACAGAGTCTTGCTCTGTCTCCCAGGCTGGAGTGTAGTGGCACAATCTTGGCTCACTGCAAGCTCAGCCTCCCAGGTTCACACCATTCTCCTGCCTCAGACTGCCGAATAGCTGGGACTACAGGCTCCCGCCACCACGCCCGGCTAATTTTTTGTATTTTTGGTAGAGATGGGGTTTCACCATGTTGGCCTGGCTGGTCTCCAACTCCTGACCTCAGGTGATCTGCCCGCCTTGGTCTCCCAAAGTGCTGGAAATACATGAGTGAGCTTGGTCTCCCAAAGTGCTGGAATTACATAAGTGAGCCACCACACCCGCCTGGCCTGAAACTCAAAGATTTCCTATGCAGTGAGTGTGAGGCACAGCAGCCAACAGCAATGAAAGTTACCATCTTTATCTCTGTCTAGCAAACTGTTCCTATAGCATCCTATAACCTGATGCCCACAACAGCCCTAGTTCTGTTTTATAATTAAGAAAATTGGCCCAGGGAAATTAAGTGGCTCACACAAGAAGTGACCGAGACAGGATTTCAACCTGAAGTTTCTAACTACACTACACCCCAGGAAGGAGAACACTAGGTATTTGTAGCATAAATTAAACCAGTGGTTCCTTTATTCATGGAAAAAGCAAGCCTGTGCCTTCCCTGTGAACCTAATTTCTATTAATAAAAAGGAAAAAGAGAAAGAACTCTTATTAAGTGCAGCTCCATATCAGATCATTTGTCTTACACCAGCGAGGTAAAAGCACCCCTCCATTTTTACAATGGAGATACAAAAGACTCAGAGATTAAACGTGACTTGTCCAAGGTCATGCAGCTCCTAGAACTTTACAATTAATGACGGTAACAATAATTTGCAGCTGCTTTTATTGCACCCCTTATGACAGTCACTGTTCCAAGTGCTTTTACATGGCTTCTCTCATTGAATCTTCACAACTCTATATAAACTAGGGACCTATTTTGCAGACGAAGAAACTGAAGCAGGGATAGTTAAAGGGGCCTTCACAGCCAGCATCTAATTATTCTAATTTCGGGTTCAGAATTTGGTACATTCATATGCAATGAATGAACCAAACAACGTGGAAAGTGAGAGCAAAATCATCACAATTCTACCCCTAAAAATGGAGTCCTGGCTGGGCGCAGTGGCTCACACCTGTAATCCTAGCACTTTGGGAGGCCGAAGTGGGCGAATCGCTTGAGGTAAGGAGTTTGAAACCAGTCTGGCCAACGTGGTAAAAACCCCATCTCGGCTGGGCGCGGCGGCTCAAGCCTGTAATCCCAGCACTTTGGGAGGCCGAGGCGGGCGGATCACGAGGTCAGGAGATCAAGACCATCCTGGCTAACACAGTGAAACCCCGTCTCTACTTAAAAAAAAAAAAAAAAAAATTAGCCGGGCGTGGTGTCGGGCACCTGTAGTCCCAGTTACTCGGGAGGCTGAGGCAGGAGAATGGCGTGAACCCGGGAGGCAGACCTTGCAGTGAGCCGAGATCGCGCCACTGCACTCCAGCCCGGGCTACAGAGCAAGACTCCGTCTCGGGGCGGGAGAGTTGGGGGTAACCATCTCTACAAAAAAATACCAAAAAAAAAAAAAGCCGCGTGGGCTGGCCGCGGTGGCTCACGCCTGTAATCCCAGCACTTTGGAAGGCCGAGGCCAGTGGATCACCTGAGGTCAGGAGTTGGAGACCAGCCAGGCCAACATGGTGAAACCCTGTCTCTACTAAAAATACAAAAATTAGCCGGGCGTGGTGGCAGGCGCCTGTAATCCCAGCTACTCGGGAGGCTGAGGCAGGACAATCGCTTGAACCCAGGAGGCGGAGATTGAGGTGAGCTGAGATCGCACCACTGCGCTCCAGCCTGGGAGACTGGGAGACAGTGAGACTCCGTCTTAAAAAAAAAAAAAAAAAGCCGTGTGAGCTGGCAGGCGCCTGTAATCTCAGCTACTCGGGAGGCTGAGACAGGAGAATCGCTCGAACTCGGAAGGCGGAGGTTGAGGTGAGCCGAGATCGTGCCACTGCACTCCAGCCTGGGAGACAGAGTGAGACTCCGTCTCAAAAAAAAAAAAAAAAAAAAAAAAAAAAAAGCTGTGTGAGCTGGTGGGCGCCTGAAATCTCAACTACTTGGGAGACTGAGACAGGAGAATCGCTTGAACCCGGGAGGCTGAGGTTGCAGTGAGCCGAGATCGCGTCACTGCACTCCAGCCTCGGCGACAGAGGGAGACTCTGTCTCAAAAAAGAAAGAAAGAAAGAAAAAGAAATGGAGAGCTACGAGCGAGAGCTTCCGCAGCATTCTGTAGGACCAAAATAGGCGCACGGGTTCCCGAGCGTGCGCCGCCTGGCAGCGGAGCTGGCCGAGGCGAGCCGCAGAGCCAAGGCACCCAGAACCGACTCGCCTCCCGCCCGCTCCCGGCGGCCTAGTCAGCAGGCGGCGGAGCGGCGGCGAAGCTGACATGGCGGTGCGCCAATCACCGAAGGCAAGAGAGACAGAAGGGACCAATAGTCGCCCGAGATGTCGCCTGGCGGAAGTCACGCCCCCAAACTGTCAAGCAAAGCACCCGGTTGAAGGGGCCCAGGCCGGGGGGAGGGGGCTCCCGGCGGCCCGAGGGAGGGGAGGCCGGCCGGCGAGGACAACGGAGCACGAGAGGGCTGCCTACACTTGGCCGCGCTCGATCCTGCCCTTATCTAAACGCCGCAACCCATACCCCGGCCCCAGAGAATAGGCTCAGGACTAAAAGGGCCGTCCCAGCCATCCGTGCTGGCGCCTGGGGATGCAGGCCCGTCGCCTGGGGATGCAGGCCCGTCCCCGGTACCCGCCCATGCCCAGCCCGGCGACCTAGGGCCTCACCTTGAGCCGAGAGCTGCCGGACACTGTTCACGAACTGCTCCAGGGCAGACGCCATGTTTTCCCCCGGGCGGCCCGAGCGCCGAAGGCACCACGCGCGGGAAAAGGCTGCCGCTCTGGGAGGAGGGGCCGCGGCAAGCCACCTGAGGGCCTCGCGAGCGGCGACGTCACTTCCGCTGGTTCAAGCACCGCGAGAATCTACCTAGCTGCCAACCCGTTACTGTTTCCATGGAAACAGCCTTACTCGCTGTAGCCGGAAGTTAGAGTTCCATAGTCTCCGGCGTCTTCTTTCAGTGCACTTGTGAAATCCCTCCGCACGTTAAATGGGGATAGTGGGCAAAGGAAGGAACGAAACTCATAATTAAGCAAGTATTTTCTGGTTCTGGATTTTGCTAGAGAGGCCCTGCGGCTTTCCACCTGGACAGATACTTCAATGAAGCACGACTTAGTTGCTACGTCTCCCATGAGATTTTCCGCGTGATATTAGACTCTGGAGCCAAGCAGCTTAGGTTTAACTGCCTTTTCTACCACTTAGTAGCTGTGTGACTTTGAGCAAGTCACTTGACCGTGGTGAGCATTGTTTTCCCCATCTGTAAAATCTCAATGCCCTTAACTACATAAAACACTCAGGACAGCGCATAGCACATAGGGAGAACTATAGTTATTCATTCAAGATGTACGTTGAAGTAAAAAAGTAACACCACACACAAAAAGAAAGTGAATTGATTTTCCCCATCTGGGATTGATGTCTCCCTCCTCCACTTGTCCCCTAAAGCACTTTGTTCTTCTCATGTTGCACTTCTACTGTGTTGTAGAAATGTGTCTCTATAGTCCATGTCATAACTGTAAACCAAAAATAAAAGTCTAAGCCCCCAACTGACTGGTGGACCCTATCCTAAGCCAAGGACATTCCAGTTTATCCTGAAAAACTAGTTCAGGCCATGATGGGAAGTGGTAGTCAGACATGCCTCACAAACATCAACACAGACACCTTAAGACTGGTAGACTCAAGACCGATAAGAAATATTTACAATCTATTCTATCTGAATCCTGCTACCTGGAAGCCTCATCTGCATGATAAAACCTTGGTCTCCACAACCCCTTATAATCGTAACCAGCTATTCCTTTCTATTTACTTCCAGGTCCTTAGATAATAACTCTTTCAACCAATTACCAATGAAAAAATCTTTAAGTCTACCTATAAGGTGGAAGCCCCCCAACTGCCCCGAGTTGGCCCGTCTTTCCGGACCTAACCAATGTACATCTTACATGTATTGATTGATGACTCATGTCTACCTAAAATGTATAAAACCAAACTGTACCTGACCACCTTGGGCACATGTCCTGAGGAGCTTCTGAGGCCGTGTCATCATCGCATCCTTCACCTTGGCAATATAAACTTTCTCGATTGAGACTGGTCTCAGGTACTTTTGGTTTACAGATCCATTGCTTCTAACTGGCATGGAGTTCCTTAAGGTCAAGGATCTCTCTTACTAACCTTGATTCCCCTTTAGGGCCCAGTGTAAGATTTGCTGCATAGTAGGGACTGAGGAAACAAACATGCATTTAAAAATTTTATCCAACATTTGTTTACTGACACTTACAAAGTGTTGTACCAGGCACTAGAAATACACTGGTAGTAAAAACAGTCTTGGGGCCTGGCGCGGTGGCTCGTGCTTGTAATCCAGCACTTTGGGAGACTGAAGCAAGTGGATAACTTGAGGTCAGGAGTTGAACACCAGCCTGGCCAACATGGTGAAACACCACCTCTACTAAAAATACTACAAAAAATAGCTGGGCTTTGTAGCCTGTATTCCCAACTACTTGGGAGGCTGAGATGGGAGAATCACTTGAACCTGGGAAGTGGAGGTTGCAGTGAGCCGAGATGGTGCCTCTGCACTCCAGCCTGGGCGGCAGAGCAAGAATCTGTCTCAAACAAAACAAAACCAAACAAAACAAAACAGTTTCCGTCCTTCTCTCCTGCAGATAACACATGAAGACCCTAGAGAAAAGGAGTTAGTGCTCCGAAGGAATGGAACATGGTTCTATAAAATCATGTCACAGAGGATATTGACCTGGCCTGGGAGAAACAGGGAAGGCTTTCTTGAGGAAATGGCATAAACTGAGCTCCGAAGAAAGAGGAAGAGTTTTTTTGTTTGTTTGTTTGAGACGGAGTCTCTCTCTGTCGCCTAGGCTGTAGTGCAGTGGCGTGATCTCGGCTCACTGCAAGCTCCGCCTCCTGGGTTCATGCCATTCTCCTGCCTCAGCCTCCCGAGTAGCTGGGACTACAGGCGCCCGCCACCACACCTGGCTAATTTTTTTTTTTTTTTTTTTTTTTTTTTTTTTTTTTTGAGACGGAGTCTCGCTCTGTCGCCCAGGCTGGAGTGCAGTGGTGCAATCTCGGCTCACTGCAAGCTCCGCCTCCCGGGTTCACGCCATTCTCCTGCCTCAGCCTCCCGAGTAGCTGGGACTACAGGCGCCCACAACCGCGCCCGGCTAATTTTTTGTATTTTTAGTAGAGACGGGGTTTCACCGTGGTCTCGATCTCCTGACCTTGTGATCCGCCTGCCTCGGCCTCCCAAAGTGCTGGGATTACAGGCGTGAGCCACCGCGCCCGGCTATTTTTTGTATTTTTATTAGAGATGGGTTTTCACCGTGGTCTTGATTTCCTGACCTCGTGATCCACCCGCCTCAGCCTCCCAAAGTGCTGGGATTACAGGTGTGAGCCACCGCGCCCGGCCAAAAGAGGAAGAGTTAATAAGATAAGGGGGAAGAAATATTTCTGAGTGAGAGGACAGTATGGTGCTAAGACCCTGCATGTGAAAGGAGCATCCTAGTTGAGAATGAAGAACTGAAAGAATGTCTTTGTGGTTGGAGGGGAGTGGTTTGTAAGGTGGACAGGGGCCGGGTTATGTAAGCTGTGTTAAAGGTACTGGACTTTTTCCTGAGAAGATTGGGAGGACTGGAGAGTTTTATGCAAGCAGGTAGCAGGATCAAATTTGCATTTTAAGGCCAGATGTGGTGGCTCACGCCTGTAATCCCAGCACTTTGAGAGACTGAGGTGGTTGGATCACGAGGTCAGGAATTCGAGAGCAACTTGGCCGGTAAGATGTAACCCTGTCTCTACTAAAAATACAAAAAATAGCCGGGCATGGTGGCATGTGCCTGTAATCCCAGCTTTTCGGGAGGCTGAGGCAGGAGAATCACTTGAACCTGGGAGGCGGAGGTTGCAGTGAGCTGAGATCAGGCCATTGCACTCCAGACTGGGCAACAAAAAGACACTCAACTTCAAAAAACAAAACAACCACCACAACAACAAAAACTGCATTTTAAAAAGATTCATCTGGCTTCATGTGGATAACCTGGGAGACAGGAAGCTATTGCAGTAGTCAACATGAAATATAACAGTAATAATTATACCTTAAATAGTTATACCTTGAATGCTAATAATTATACTCTTGCCAGGAGTTTGAGACCAGCCTAGACAACAGAGCGTGACTTTGTCTTTACAAAAAAAAATTTTAAAAAACTAGCTGGTTGTGGTGGTGCATAACTGTTGTCTCAGCTACTCTGGAGGCTGAAGTGGGAGGACCAGTTGAGCCCAGGAATTTGAGGCTGCACTGAGCTATGATCTTGCCACTGCACCCCAGCCTGGGTGACAGAGTAAGACCCTGTTTCTTTAAAATAAATAATAATAATAATAGTTCTCTTGAAAGTGTAGATAAATTCACCAGGATAAATTGGTGAACTTGAGACATGTTTAGATGAATAACTATAGCACTTGTACTCTAAGATGGAAATGTTCCTGAATGTTCTATGGAAGCAATTGGTCCTTAATCTTTGATCACTTGCAACACACAAGACAGACATTTTGACTTACGGGACAAATTTCCATTGGATATACGTGGATTTTGGTGAAAGCCAAAAATGTTGAAGATAAATAAAGAACTACAATGATTCGGCCGGGCACGGTGGCTCAAGCCTGTAATCCCAGCACTTTGGGAGGCCGAGACGGGCGGATCACAAGGTCAGGAGATCAAGACCATCCTGGCTAACACGGTGAAACCCCGTCTCTACTAAAAAATACAAAAAACTAGCTGGGCGAGGTGGCGGGCGCCTGTAGTCCCAGCTACTCGGGAGGCTGAGGCAGGAGAATGGCGTGAACCCGGGAGGCGGAGCTTGCAGTGAACTGAGATCCGGCCACTGCACTCCAGCCTGGGTGACAGAGCGAGACTCTGTCTCAAAAAAAAAGAACTACAATGATTCAAAGTAGTCACAGCTACTAATAATACTTTGATTATTTATTTATTTATTTATTTATTTATTATTGCCTATTTAGGTTGTGGCAGCTGCTCTCGAAGTGTGATTCCACCAGTCAGCAGCATCAGTGTCATTTGGGATTTCCTTGGAAATGCACGTTCTTGGACCCCACTGTAGACTTCCTATATCAAGAGCTCTGAAACTGGGCACGGAGGCTCATGCCTATAAACCCAGCACTTTGGGAGGCTGAGGCGGGTGGATTGTTTGAGGTCAGGGGTTCAAGACCAGCCTAGCCAACATGGCGAAACCCCATCTCTACTAAAGATACAAAAATTAGCCGGGCGGTGGTGGCACACACCTGTCATCCCAGGTACTTGGGAATCTGAGGCAGGAGACTCGCTTGAGCCAGGGAGGTGGAAGTTGCGGTGAGCTGAGCTCGTGCCACTGCACTCCAGTCTGGGCAAGAGAGTGAGATACTGTCTCAAAAAAAAATAAAAATAAAAAAGTGATTCCCTGATTCCCAGCAATCTGAGTTTAACAAGCCTGCAGGTAATTCTGATGATGCTAAATTCTGAGAGCATCTGGACTGTGGGCTCCAGATGAGCCAGCATACAAACAACACTCATTTCAAAACAGCTAAAAGTAATTCCACCTTTCTCTTTTCTCTCAAAAACAAATGACTGAAAGAGATGTGATTATAGGGATAAACCTGAATATATTCTAACTTGGTTTTTTTTGTTTGTTTGTTTTTGTTTTTTTTGAGATGGAGCCTCGCTCTGTCACCCAGGCTGGAGTGCAGTGGTGTGATCTCAGCTCACTGCACGCTCTGCCTCCAGGGTTCATGCCATTCTCCTGCCTCAGCC